GTCGTCCCACTCCTAACTTGCTGAGCGTTAAGCAGGAGTAGAAACTACCATTGTTAAAGACTTTGGTATGTCTCGGCCAGGGGACAGAACCCAAAGCCTTCCTAACAGGGGCGAACGCTCAACAAATGGCCAAAAGTGAGGCATTGTCAAGGGAGACATTAGGAAGAAGAAAGTTATTTAGAAAGGAGAGAAGAGATAAGGTCCCAAATTTAGTCGCCTCTTACGATCATGCAATTGGGGGCAGCAAGTACAATTCTTACGCCCTACCTGCAGGGCAGTAATGACAAAAAAGACAATATAGAATGTATTATAAAAACTTTTTGCTGATGAAAATAAAATAAAAAATGATCTCGTAAATATACAATTGCGGGCAGATAAGTGGCTTGTTGAATTTAAGCCTGCAAACTCAGAGGCTTTACTTAATTCTAATATTGAACTTGATCACCTCATTGAAATTGATTTTAATAGTGCAAATATTGAATTTGTTGAAAATCATAAGCATCTGGGAGTATTCATCGATGCTAACTGTAAGTGGACCTATCACATTTATAATATATGTAAAAAGTAAGTGTCCTCCGTAAACTAAAATATACACTGTATCGACGTACATACTTCCTATTCTAGATTATTGTTGTGAACTTTGGGATGGTTGTTCTATTACTGATACAGACAAATTAGAAAAGCTACAGCGAGGCCTGACTGGTCATTTATGGCCGCGAAAAGAAAAAGGTGTCTTAATATATGATCTGAATGGTATGACCTAATAAACAAGCCGCTGACGGCTCCCGGTATTTACGGATTCAGTAGGTTTTTTCCTGTCTTAGCACTCGATCGCGTGTTTGGTCTTAATGGTGTTTTTTTTGTGTGAAGCTTTTATGTCTGTTGGTATGATGGGAGTTAAATTAGTCTTGCCCGTTTTCTGTGTTTATTAATGCACGGACTTTTTCTAATGCTTCCCCATCATCAATATTTCGGTCACGGGCTATCAATACGATGGTACATAAAAGTGCGGCCGTGACGTAGAGCCCTGGTTGTCTTGTCCAATTGTCGGTTGTTAACTGTTGGTTGGGTGTTGATGTAATTTTAACAGCGTCTGAGTATAAAACTTTATTCATTTAACAACAATTATTGAACAATTTATTTCAACTTATGTTAATCACTCTTGTTGGCCCGGGTCTTAGTGTGAGAGAAAACCGGAGTACCCGGAGAAAACCGACGTGCTCGGGCAGGTGACCCCAACCTTTTCACGTTCGATCGGGGGATCGAACCTCGGCCTCCTTGGTGAAAGGCAAGTGTGCTATCCACTACACCACCTGATCACCCGAGTCTGAGTATAATCTGTCAATGGATGTGGGGACGATAAATATAGATTTACAATGAGCTTGAGATTGTTGTGGTTTGTTAGTTTTTGGTTGGTGTGTACGCGAGGTGTTGAATTTGGATACTGGGAAAGAAACTTTATTAAAAGTTTCCGCCCTTGGGAGTGTTTGAGAGCTAAACTCTATGAGAACTGATGTTGTTTGTTCTTTGTTTTTGTTGTGCATTCTGTGTGCGTTTTTTACGTGTTGTATTTTCATGATTTCTGTCATGGAGATGTTGTGCGGTATTCTATAAATAACCCCTTTAGTAGTATTTCTGTTTTGTTTTGTGTTTAGGAGGGGCATTGTACGGTCTTTTTGAAAGACGTGCAGTACAGGGTGTACTGTCCACGCCGGTGATCTTACGGGCCTTGTTTATTACTACGGCCATTGTGGCATACATAATATCAGTATGATACCCGAGGGTAACATTTTACCGCGTTTACGTCACTGGTGACGCCGGTGTATTGCGTGATATCCTGTGTGTAATGTCTTTTTGGTATGTGGGGTTATGATTACTACGGCTGGGTAGTCTTTGGTTGAGGTAAACATACTTGGTCAAGGGGAGTTAACTCTTAAAGAAAGAAATAACTTCGAGAGAGAGAAAAACAAAATAAACAAATTAACGTGTTTGGTATTACCTGAGCGTTATTCTTTAGAAGTGTTTGTGTTCAAATGTATTTTGATGAAAACATACACTGGTGTGCATATACGGGTTTTTAAATATATAAATATAGCGATAAATAGTTTTAGATGTCCATGTGACGGTAAAAATATAAATAAAACAAAACACGAAGACTATTATAATCGGCTAGTTATATTTTACAGATTAGTTCTAACCTAAGGGATACTTAGATGAGAATAAAGGCTATCCGGCAATGTATGGCTTGTTCTCAGTTCCCACGCTTTTTAAAATAGCATGAGGGGGAAAAAAATGTTGTTAGAACGATTATAGGCTCATTCCCCGAACACCAACTCTGGATAATTGAAAGGAAGGTGTTTATATAGGAAATCCTTTGAAGTTTAGTTATAGCCGTTTCAACTATGATACTAAAGTCAATAATAAAATGGATAAAAAGTTGTTATTCATATATATACATGTAATACACATTTAATACAGTATTAAGTAATAGAAAATAATTATTAAATAATAATATTTACATTATATGAAAAATAAAAATAATGAAAAATAACATTACATTATATGAAAAATAAAATTCCTTAATTTAAGCCACATTGATACTAATGTCAGCAATAAAATAAAGTTTCTATTCATACAGATAACAGTAATACACATTTAATACAGCACTAAAAGTCAATTATTAAATATGAATATAAACTAAACCACTAAATGAAGCTGAAGTTTCTAGCACAAATCACATTATCTATATATATCACTTAGTCTCTAGCACAAAACATTCTATCCAAGATGCAGAAGCTGTGATGCTGAATCGGCGTAAGATATCAGGTCGATAGTTCCAGTCTGTTACGGTCTTTCAGGATGGACAGGCGTCTGTCGATGTTGGCGTATCTTTTGTTTGTTTACATATGTTTAACGGCCCATCGACGGCTGTGGTCATTTAGGGCCATGGTGATTTATTTATTTATTTTACTTTTTTAACAAACATGTGAATAGCGAAGATAAAATTAGATAAAATGGTTCAGTTTAAAAGTATTCGCATTGTATGTGTAGATAATAAAAAATAATAAAAGGGGGTTAAAATAATAAAAGAGATAACGAATAGATGATATGGAATATGCGATATATATATAACGTCAACAATGATAATGTGG